TTTCATTAACTGATGTAATGTTAATATACCAACCTATTGAAGTACTGAAATCTGTTTTGTACCTTTGTAATACACTGATAACCACCAAATGCAGGTGGTGATGAGAAAGTCATCTTTGTCATCAAAGACAAAGTCATTCAAAGCCCATCACATAAATAATAAAAATAATAACATATATAGAAGGTGCACAGTGTCATTCACACAAACACTAAACACCATCATCATGGAACTGACATATATATAAACTAAGATATATTTAATATTTAAATAATTATTTTGATAATTTTTTTTTATATTCGTTATACTGGTGGGAATTAGGGAGCTATTATTGTCACAATGCACAATGTTAAAATAATGTCAAAAAAGTAAAGGCTTAAATTAGGCTTAAACTATGCTTTCTTTTGATTTTTGGGCTGTAATTTTGGGGTGAAATATGAACTATGCACTGTAAAAAATCTGTAAAATTTGCGGTAAAAAAATGGCAGCTGTGGTTGCCGGAATTTTACTGTAAAAAATATGGTAGCAATTGTCCAATACAGTTTTTCACCGTATATAGCAGGGGAATTTACTGTTAACCATTTAACAGGTTTTTACTGTAGCATTTTTACAGTCTTTTACCGTTAAATTCACAGTCATTTTTTTACAGTGTGGTTTCGTGAGATTCACCCTTTTACTAAAATAGTAAACTAAGCTTTTATTTGACAGATTTTAAAGAACATAATGCCATTTTTTTCTGACTTTTCTGAATCATTGGCAGTATTCTGCCTCTATGAATAAACATATCCATTAGCACTTGACTAAAGTTTATTACAATGTAAAAACAATCTCACACTGTACATTTGACTACCCACACAAAACGCATGTAATTTACATTCTCACATCTATACTGACTCTCAGGCAAATAACCAAGACCAGATGTGGCAGATGAATGCAAAGCCAGCGTGTTTCTCACTGTATAATACAGAAGTGATTTCAGCTGTTTATGTTAGTAGTATTATGTTATTATAGTAGTAGTATGTTAGTTCCATCACCCAAACACGTCCCAAAAAACCCCTCTGTCTCACAAAGCTGTGAAATGTCAAGGGATGTATTGAGTATATCTGCTTTATTTATCATTCCTGCCATTATTTATCTCCACACTTGTGCTTTGAAACATCCTCCATCTGCAGTGACAAAAACTGCGACAAGACATCTTAATGGCCCACAGAGAACCGTGAACCTCTGGTGAACCTATATTTTGAGTATTTGTACTGCTCATAGCTACATGCATGAGTGAAATTGAATCTTGTAAAAAGAATGAATGGGAATACACTGGCCTCGGTGACATCAATCAGTGGCTGTTAAGAGTGTTGGACGTGAACCAGATTACCTCATTATAACTCTGTGTGCAACAACACCATATGCCTGAAAGCTGGAGACCACAATACAATCCATAAATTGCATGGTCAAGATCCAACTCTGCCATATAGTTTTTGTTTGGCACGAAGGATATTTCTTTTCAATGTACTGCAGTGTCATTGTGGTATAGTAAATGGAGCTCAATTTATATGCCTGCAGGGAAAATTATACATTTTTTTTTTTTAAGTCCAGCAGTAATCAAGCGGTCAGTGGATGTATGTGGGCAGCGTCAACACGCTTGTTTTTCCAAGTCGGGATTTTTTGACTTCTGTTGTTTTAATACTGAGCTAACTATTTCATTATAAGATCATTTAGTATGTTTATTAAGTTTATTATGCTGTTTCCTTGTGTGGGCTGTTGCCTGGTTCTCACAATGCAGGTGGTTTTTGTAAGTGGAAAAAAAAATACAGACAGAGAGAGAGAGAGGACTAGTCTGTGTCTTTATGAATATTTTTTGTACTTTATGGACATTTCCAAATAATTTTTAACCATATAACCATAACAAAACTATGTTGTACACAATCTACCACATGCCTTCTGTCATCTGATTAATAGTTAACATTTTTTTTTTTTTAAAGGTTTTTATGAATTAAATGTAAAAATATCTTGTATATGGTCAGTAATGCTTCAAGACGAACACATAATGGACTGATGCAACCGGTTTACTTGATTATCTAGACATATTGTTAAAATGTCAGAGTCAAATATGATGCTTTTGAGGAACGTTTATTTATTAATATCTCAATCATCATTGTATTGAAGTATATTATACCCTTTCTCCTAAAAAAAAAAAAAAACATAGACTAAGCATTTAAATAGCATCTTACTAAGACGCTATACTGCTATAAAGTCTAATTGATTTACATTAAAAGCTATCAGAATTGCATCTTATTTTGGGCATAAAAATACCAGCAACTACACCAAATTTCATATTTTTGTACAGTTTTGAATAAAACTGAGTTTCTTTCTTTTCTCCTTGAGCATGAGCTCTATATTCTCTCATATGAGCCATAAAAGCCTGATGTATCACATGACTTTTAACTTTTTTATATTTATTTATTGAGATTCTGTCTAAATATTCAATAAACTGTTCCTTTAAAAATAATTATTATTTAATATGCCATGCTTTACAGGGCTGAAATGGCTGTACCATAGTACAGCAATGGTATCAGATGGGAATACAATGGTAATAAATGATTAATCTATTCATGTGCTATGGTATATGACAAATAATACTATAGAACTACCATGTCAAAAACGTTTGTATTTTTAAGAGACCTGCTTAAAAAATACCCAGCACCTGGGTAAAAAAATGGCTGCAATATAACAAAGAGTGAAAAATTTAAGGGGGTCTGAATACTTTCCGTACCCACTGTATATATATATATATATATAAAAACCTGGCACTGTCCAAAAACGTACTTTTTAATACTTGTTGCTTAGTATGTGTGAAACACACATTTGTTTTGTTTTATATATATTTTTTTTCTATCATCTATTTACTTCCACACTTTTTATACAGAGCCAATTATATTTTCTACCATAACTTTTACATTTCAATTAAAGCATTATTAAACGTTTATTAAGCCATTTTTTTCTCATAATGTTTCTCCCATGTTGGCTGCTCCCCACAATGTAGGTGATTTCACGTTTTATGGTCTTTGTGGGGACATTTGGTGCTAACAATGTATGGAAACCCCCACCCACCACACACACATACGTTTTTATTTTTATTTTTATGATTATTCCAACCTCCCATTCTACTGGTAGATTGCACTAATTGTAAATTCTACAGACTAACCCTAACCCAAAATTTTGGCATTTGAAAAAAGAGTGTTAAGTTCCCGTATAGAGTTTTTTTTCCCCCTTTGTCAAGATTTTTAAGATGTATTCACCATCTTTGCTTTATATCTGACTTGATTGTTTTAGAAACAAACAGACTTACAAGATGTATACATTTTCCTGAGTTCGTTTTCTTAAAAATGTGGTCAAATAAGTGGTCAAAAAGTGCAATGACCTCCGCATGTTTTAATAGACGCATTGACGTTTTATTTAAGGCAGCTAAATTTCACTTTTTTTTTTCTCTTACAGTGAAAGTAGCGCGTGAGTCTGGGTGTGAATGAGGGCGGTGCAGGGGGCATTATTTGAGCTCGTGTTTGAGGACTGCAGGAGGAGGGGTGCTCAAACACAGCTGTACTTGTTCAATCACACCCACTCCTGTCACCCTGTCTGGGGAACATCGAGGCCACCATCACAGTCAGCTCGTTCTTAAGGGACCAATAAACACATTTATTAGGCTACTACTGAATTTCAATAGAAATTACTTTACTTAGGTAATCTACGAGAGAGCTTTTATTGCTGACCCCGGGGGTTTCTAGGACTCACCGCGCGCTGACCAGCAGAACCACACAGAACTTCGCAAACTTGTTCGTTCACATCGTCTCCGAGGACTTCACCGAAGCGGCGATGGAGCATCCTTGGTGCTTTTACGCGCTTATTTTAACGCTGATGTCCTGTGTTCATTATTCCCAGAGCATTGAGAGAAATAAGGATATTCCAACAGGTAAGAGTCAGTTACATTGGGACCGCACACTCTGCTGCGTCATTCACACGGAGTGCGACGCGACGCAACTTGTCTAGAACGCTCGCGTTATATACAATAGCCTAATTGTGATCTGAACGGTTAACTAATGTGACGATAACACGTAATTATCTTTAATAACCTTTTAAATCATTAACCGTTCAATAAGTTAGCTTTCAAATAGTCATAACCTCAAAATATAGAAGGAAAAGGAGAAAATAAAAATATAGAAGAACAAGAAAAATCCATGCTATTTCAATTTGAATGAACATTAATAATCTTTAATGTTTGAAAAGTAGCCTACTGTAAAATGTTACCTTTCCTTCTGCTGCTCGATCAGTTGGGAGACCAGAGCTACAGTCACATGGTGAAGTTGTCACTAGGGGACATTTTAGTACATTTTTGTTTGTGTGTGAATTCTGAAAACTGTGATTCAATATCATATTTCTGTGAAATATTTTAGGTAACAAGTGAACACAAGTCATTGACATATATGAAAGAAATCATCTGTTGGAACAAGTTATCATTTTAATTATAATCTGTTTACTTCGAGAGAAAAAAAAAAGTTTAAGGTGTTTCTTTTGTGTTTAATAATTGTTTTACTGTATAAATTTAACTGGAAACCATAATAGGCTGTTTAATGGTAGGTTACCTCATAGAGTGTGACAATATGCCCCGCTCATGCAATGATGTCCATTATTTATTTAGTTAGTAGCCCAGACTTTAAGGTTTGTCTATACAGAAAATTACTTTCATAAATAACCCACTCTGGGAAATATTCACTAGAGAAAAAAGTGTGACAACTAGCCCCGGTTTCCCCTACAGTACACCTTGCTTCTTGTTGGGACGAGACGGATGTCAGGTAGACCTTTTTTCACACAGTCTTGCTGTTTGAGAATGTGTGCCTGTGATATATAACACTATGCTGTTCAATCTACAGTGCGTATAGTCGTGTGGTGCAATAACTAAAATGTAATAAAATTGCAATGCACACAGTTAATGCACTCCCTAATGAGTTAAGCATTTATTTGAAGCATAAACACGTTTTTAATTACTTTCTGGATTCTATTAGGTTGTACAGTAATTTGTTTGTGATGGTAAAAACATTTACAGCCTAAAAACGTGTTTAAATAATTAAAACGCCTCTATGGTTTGTGAACAGTTGCTTGTGCCTTTTTAGTTACTGTACAGGAATATAAATTGCTCTGTTGAGTGTCAACAAGCCTAGTAAGAGGGATAAATATGACTTACACAGATTTCATTCATTTTGGCGTTCATCATTTCCATGCGACATGACTGTGGCAATCTTTATTCTTGACAGTTCTAGAACTGGATTTACATTGTATATACAAGGCGATAAAACTAACCCATCTATCAACAAGCTCTGGGACAAAGTGATGCATGCTTAAGGGTGTCATTTATAGCTTGAAAAAAGTGACAACCATTTTCTAAACAAACCTCTGTGCTCTGGATCATAATTCACAATATAATCAAGCAGTGTTAATTTTCATGCGTCATTTTTGCCATCAAATGTCAGTCAGATTCTCTTAGTGCCGTTAGTCACTAAGCATTACATTTTGGTCAAACTGTGACATAACTTTATTGCAAGCTTTACTGATGCATTCCCGTCTGAGAAGTATCTTTCTAGAAAGGTCACTGGGTAAAACTTTCCAAAAGCAAAACCCCAAAGTGCAGCCATGTGTCACATTTGAGAACTGTATGACTGTGGTTTCACACATATGGAGGGCAAATGTGTGTATTTTGTCAGAATATGTATAGGCTATCTGTGATGCAGTAACATTTGTAACATCTGGCGTTTAGTATAACACAACTAAAGTACTGTTTTCAAGGAGTTAATCTTCTGTTTCACATTTAAAGCATTTTAAGGTGTTTCAATACAAATCAATGAGCCTTGACACCTTCCAAACGCGTGAGCTCCTTATCCCTTGTCATTGCAAAAAAAAACATGATCTATTTTATAAACATGAAGCTTGCAATGTTCATGGACAGATGCTCAACATGAAATACCATTTGTGACTGATTTTACTTCCATAATCAAAAACAATTTTGAGTGAAACCAGAAAGAGTGGGACTTACGGTAATTATATCAATCAGGCTACCCAGGCTCATTGGAAATACCTGACGCTTTCTACATTTCTGCAAAACAAAAAACATACTTGTACATACAAATCGCTGCAGTTTCCAGTTGAAATAAACATTAAAGGCAGTAAAACTCTGACAAATTGTATTCCTTTTCACACAAATTATGATTTACAAGGCCAGAGTTTTAAGCAAAGCCTAATTTTCGCACAATTCCTTGAAAAATATTAGGTTATGACCTCAAAACGATTTGAAAATTGATACTTTTGATTGTTATCATCACATATAAAGCTTCAAATGTATGGGATTTCTAACACAGAAGCACTCCGGTATGAATCCTGTGAAGCTATGGCTCGACAAAACACCTCAACCTGCGTTAAAACATAAACGTTAAAATAGATCAAATAGCACAGTTGCATCAGAAAATGTGTTTTTATATCGCTCCGGCATTTGTTAATACTGTTGGGTAGGTTTAGGGTTGGGTTTGGTGTAGGGGGTTATGTTATTTTCCATCATGATGAGGCGGGGCATAGAGGACCTACAATAATGTACAGTATTTGAAAAATAATGTGTTTTTTGAACATTAAAGCATGTCAACATATTCTGTTACACCAAATACACAAAATAATGATCTTTAAAAAAGCATCATATGACCCCTTTAACATTTAGCGACACTCCCTGAACATTTGAATTCTGCATCGCAATACGTACCTGAAGAAACGTAATAAAAACGCAACAATATGCATCGTACCTACATAATAAAAATGTGGTCACAGTCATGCATTGAACATGTTTTAGCACAAGTAACTGGACATTACACTTTGAAACTGTCGCAAAAAATGCAGTAATGCATGTAATATCGTAATACACGTATTTCCAATGAGCCTGGACTGTGATCAGAAATTAGATTGTGAGAAGTCACATGGAGAAAGACAGTTAGAGGGGTGTGGCCAGGGCCAGATTTACCTATTTTCGTGACATAGGCAAAACTAATTTTTGGGCCCCCCTTCCCTAGCCAATCAGAGCAGACTGCGCTTGTCGGAAGGAGGGACTTTGTAGAAAACGAAGCGTTTGAGAGAGGCGGGGCATAGAGGACTTACAATAATGTACAGTATTTGAAAAATAATGTGTTTTTTGAACATTAAAGCATGTCAACATATTCTGTTACACCAAATACACCAAATAATGATCTTTAAAAAAGCATCATATGACCCCTTTAACATTTAGCGACACTCCCTGAACATTTGAATTCTGCATCGCAATACGTACCTGAAGAAACGTAATAAAAACGCAACAATATGCATCGTACCTACATAATAAAAATGTGGTCACAGTCATGCATTGAACATGTTTTAGCACAAGTAACTGGACATTACACTTTGAAACTGTCGCAAAAAATGCAGTAATGCATGTAATATCGTAATACACGTATTTCCAATGAGCCTGGACTGTGATCAGAAATTAGATTGTGAGAAGTCACATGGAGAAAGACAGTTAGAGGGGTGTGGCCAGGGCCAGATTTACCTATTTTCGTGACATAGGCAAAACTAATTTTTGGGCCCCCCTTCCCTATTAATATAATAGGCCTAACATTAGCTACCACCCAAGCAAACAAAACTATTTCTTTATCAGTAGAAACGGTTACAGTGTTTTCTATCGTACGTGAGGGGCTGTCGCTCTATTTTAAGTTTTGTGTTTATTTTATTATTAAAATTATGTTTAAATATTCACCGGTTACCGCCTCCTTCTTCCTGGGTTTCGGCACCAATATAACACAGTTCGTAGATCGGGAAGAAGGAGGCGGAATTCGGCGAACATTCAAACATAATTTTAATAATAAAATAAACACAAAACTTAAAATAGCGTGACAGCCCCTCTCGGACGACTGCCGCGCACAAACAGAACCAAAACAACATAAATAAAGTCCATGCCTGGTCCTCTCTCGTCTTGCACTGTCATCATTCCTCCTTTTATCCTTCCGGAGCTCCTCTGTGGGACTTGAGACCGGTGAGTGGCGCAGGTGCATTATCAATTACTCCACCGGCCTCGCTCCGTTCCCACGGCTCTCGGCCCCACACTCGTCACAGTATAACGTCCACAGATGAATCACAAGAAATAACACCATCTATTATGTTGACTTTAAACTCTACCACGTAGCATACACTGTCGGTTAAACCACTGACACATACCGGTCTCAAGAAATCCGGCTGTAAATTTCCAAATTTATGGTGCAGAGCAGATTAAAATCTAAATGGGTCTCTTAATTGACCCTGATTTGAGGTTTGGTGTACCTTTGTGCACAGTAATCAAGCTAGAGTCATTAACAGTTGGTATCTAAATGACGCATGCTATCCTAAACACAGGGGAAGATATAGAAAAAAAAATACATGCCTTTATGTAGACAGAAAGGGAGTGAACGGCACAGGAAACCTCTGGCGTTTGCGGCATGACATCACCACAGTCTTTAAACCCATCCGTCAGCCTGAATAACCTAGAAACTGAAGCGTTTAAATGTGAACAATCCGCCTCATGACTCTTGAGGTCGTCTCTACTCAAATGCCTGTGGGAGACCTATCACCTCCTGTGAGTTTTCAATGTCCACCTACGTTTAGACATACATGTGAACCCTTCACACTGAAACATTGACCTGTGAATTGAACTGCAGTGTAAGATTTACGACTTCCGAGTCCCAGTAAAAGAGAACATGTATGCTTGTCTATAGTGTTGACTGCTGGACCTGGCAGCACTAGCCTGTAATTGGCCTTGTGCAACATGGTGTCAGTCAACCGCACACTTGATTAAAGAAGTCTGGTTTATATAAGCAGTTTATATGGATGTCGGCTGTGTTTGTCAAACCGTTAAATGATTGTCCGAGCCAAAAG